GTAAATCGGTTCTCTCGTTCTTACACATGTAGTTATATAGTTAGCATTATCGGATGCGATTGTCTCTTTTTGGCAATCACAATGGCACACATTTGAAAAGTAAACTGTCGGTCAGTGCTGACATAACGAATGTGAGTGTAGTGGTAATTTTGTCAGCACGTTCTTGCAGGGATGGATGCCTCCAAGCAGATTTCGGGGTTGCAATTGTGCACAAATACACAACCAGACCAATTTCGCCGGAAGTATTGTCATTACAATTGTATTGTTGTATTTGTATAAATACAATTCGTTGTTTGTGGAATTTTTGTTGTCGTTCCGTTTCCATTTGAATTGCCCTGCAACTGTTTATTTGTTGTTTCATTAGCTATCTCGCTTACACGCACACAATACGTCCATGTTTTGTCACCATTTCCACACACACACACACCCATACACTGCCGCGTTCTCCGCAATCAACTCAAACGCATACGCCCATCTGCCATGCCATTTTCCATTTCCATTTCCATTCCCATTCTCATGGCAAAGTCTCGCACTGCCATTCGTACACTCGCAATCGCATTCGTATTCGTAATTCATACATTCGTATTGCACACATTCACAATCGTAACGAGGATAAATAGAGCAGCAGCAGCGATACGAATCGAACGCAACAGCGATCGTTGTGTCACAATAACAACACGAACGCAATATGCAAAGCAAACACAGCAAATAAACAACAGACAGTGGCGACAGCAGCAGCAGTTGGACTTTTTTTTGTTATTTACCTGTCTGCGCCGCTAGCCCCACACTGAGCCACAGCACAAAATCACCACACCACCCGCACTTGGAGGAACGACGCGCCGCTCTTTTGCCTACCAAGTGCTAACCTCCGCTACTCACTCATCGACACTTTACTCCTCCTCGTCGCCTCAGATTTGCATTTTGTTTTATTTTTTTTCAATTTCTTATCCCATTTCAATCCCCTCTAACATTTTTAATGCAGCGCGCGTTGCTGTTGTGCCACTGTGTAGTACAACTACAACTACAACTACAACTACAAATACAAATACATTTCTCAAAGCAAAGCAAACATACAATTACAGCTACAGCCACACACTCCAACCATAACAGAAAATATACAGTTGCAGATACAATTGGGGAAATGTGTGTTGTATTGCTTTTGCTTTTGCTTTTGTTGTTGCTGTTGCTGTGTAGTTATTGTTCTGGTTTCATGCTCGCGCAACGGCAGCCAGCACACATTTCAAATCGGTTTCATTACGAATTTGTCATTCGTAAGCGAAGGTAATACGATAGAAATTTTTGCTGTGCGCGCTAAAACTCTACAACTCGTTCTGTTCGTCGTCGCGTCGCGTTGCGTTGCCGCATTGCCGTGTTGGGCAGTGTTGTTTTGCCGTTGACATTGCCATTGTGGCTCACTTGCGTTCGGTGTTTATTCGTAGGCTGCGCAAGCCATTTGGTTATTCGGTTCAGGTGTTGAGTAATCACTGGTAGGGACGGTTTGACGGTTTAATTTCGATGAGCGCGCGTTTATGTGTGTGTGTGTGTCTGTGCATGGCAAATGTACAGTGTTGTTTTGCGTTTGCCGTCGCCAATTGGCGACATTCGTCAAGTGAGCGGTGTCAGCAACAGCAATTGACAAATACTAGTGCGGATTGTTTTTTTTTATAAACAAATAATTCGATTTGCGTAAAACTAATTAAGAAAATTCTAAATGTGGGTTTTGTGAACTTACAAGTGGCGAAAAAAACGAAGAATTGAAACTAAGTAGCAGTGTTTATAATTGTTTTGTGATTAAAATAATTTTACGTCAAAATTTTTGAGAAATAAGTGGAATTTTAAAAACTACAAAAATATAAAATTAAATTATGCAATCAAACATCATCAAAAAAAAAAAAAACAATGAACATTAATTGGAAAAAGTAGTTGCCGCAATTATGTAGGCATTTGGCCAGATAGTTTACAATTGAAAGCTTAAAAAAGATTCGTAGTAGGTATTGATTTAAAAGGCGCAAAATACAAAAACTGCAGCAGCTTAAATAAAATCGTTTATGGAAGAACGATTGCCTTATTTTCTTTGTTAATTGTATTGAAAGGGACACAATTTCGTGTTGTTAGTGGTGATTCTTCCGACAGGGTGAGAAGATGATGTGCTTATTTTGGAAAAAATTTCGTTTATCGCTTGTCAAATGTTGTTTGTAGACAAACCGGTTCCAATGATAAGCATTTGACACATTTTTTGTTAAATCTTCATTTCGAAATTTCGATGATTTAGCCAATTGGACATAATTTTTGGGTCTTCCCTAGCATGAAGTTCTTCTGACACCAAAACTAATCTATTACTGTTAGTACCATAAGGGCCGTATGCAGTTCTCAAGAAAAATCACAATAAATATTTTTCATTATTTATTTTGCTAGGAAAGGTACTTGCGGTTGCGACATTTTTTTTTTGTAGAAACAAATATACCAGCCATTTTTTTCTTAAGAGGTGGATACCAATTTAAGAAATTTTAATAGAGGAAAATTTCATTTTCATTTCTTGGGCGTTATATGAATTTTTAGTTTTTCTTGAGAGCTGCAGACAGGTCGTAAAAAAAATTCTAAATTTGAATTTTTGGAAAA